ATCCATGCAGATGTGCTGGCAGTATCAGGGAGGGTGGGAGCACTGGTTTCCTCCTGCCTCAGCAGGAGCTGATGGCACTTCCCCCTGGCCACAGGAGACAGGCACTGACTGTCCTCACTGTGTGTCCAAATCCATCTTCAGCTCTGCTCCCGGCTGAGCCTCCCTAAACGGGGAGAAATGAGTGTAAATCATGGCTGAGGAACATCTCCTGATATCCCAGTGGAGGGACTGAGGCTGTGCTAAATACAGTGAGGGTCTGTCAGCACTGGGACCAAACCATCAGCTGCGAAATAACTCACTTACATTATTGATTTTGTAATTTTTTTTTTTTTCTTTTAAGGCCTTGCTCTCAGGGAAAGCTTTTCTCCTGGGGCAGGAAATTATTTGGAGGGGGAAGGGCTGGTTGGTTTGTGGTATTTTTGTTTGTTTTTTTACATTGAATTTTTTTGGTGTTCAATGGTTTGGAAAGAGGTAACTGTTCCACAATGACAGACACCTGTGATGGTGCTCCTCTCCATCGGGAACCTGGCAGTGGGTTCTGCAGAGGAAGGAGTTAATGGCCTGGAAACTTGAGTTCTCTGAAGAAATAATTCTTTTCAAGTCATTTTCTTCTGAATTTTATGCTTTGGAGACTTCCCTGTGCAGGGGCTGCTCTGGGCAGAGGCCTTTGAGTCTCAAAGCCCCCACGTGCTGGGGCGGGGTGGTGGGGTGGTTCCTGCTGCCTTTCCCACATTGTGCTGGGGCTCCCAGGGTGAGGGGCCAGGGACACAGGGCTGTGAACATTCCAAAACAGGCAGGGGGACAAAGACACCTCATGTCCCTGCCCAGAAATGCTCCCACTGCTCTCCCAGCCAGGTCATGCCTCTGGGAAGGGCTGTGCTGGCAGTGACACAGGGAGCCCGTGGTGGTGCTGGTGTCTTGAGCAGGGTTCCCCCTACCCAAAACCCCTCTCCTGCTCGGTCTGTTATTTTTGATGCTGTTGTGGCTGTCGTGGTGTGGGTGGCTGGGTTGTGTTTGCTCACCTGAGCTCCCACTCGCCACCTCCCTGGCTGCTCCCTGCACCGGGGGATCCCGACAGGCGCTGCCTCCGTGGCTGGCTGCTCCCAGGATGATTTGTGGAGGAGCAGGCTCTAATGTTGCCTGGCGGGAGCATTGTTTTCCTGCAGCGCACGCAGACCTTTGCAAATAATCTAATAATGCAGGAATGTCAAACTTCAGCTGTGGAAGGAAATCCTTTTATACAGGAATTGTCAAGTCTCTAAACAAGTATCAGAAATGAGCTCAGTATCAATGTGGAGGGTGTTTATTCTGCCCGTCAGAGAGATGAACAACCCAATTCACTCTCCCAGGCAGACACAAATTTGAGTGTTGGCTCCTGGACCTCAGGAGAGCTCAGTGCCGAGCCTTGGGGTGCCCCTGCACAAACCCTTAAAGAGATGAACTTCAAAATAATGCATGAGGCAGACCCTAGTGCTTCAGCAGCTCTGGAGTTTGGGGTTTGAGGGTTTTTGTTTTTTCCTTCCAGTTGCTGGGCAGCTTTTGCTGTCAAAAAGGACTATGGGATGTTGGCATTGGAATGAGCATGAGCAGCACTCGGGAGCCAGCAGGAAGGACCAATGCTCTTGCTTTCATTCTGGGTGTCGTTGGGCAAGTCCAGGTCAGAGCTGTGTCCCTGGGGATGTTCTTTGTGCCCCTCAGGGTCTGGGGGTTTCTCTGAGGTTGATGCCTGAGGTGCTGTGGATCTGTCTGACCCCACCATCCCCTTCCAACCTCATCCAGCTCTTTTGAGTTCCACTGCACCCTCCAGCTTTTCAGGTTGCCTTTTCCTGGTGGACAGGTGTCCCAGGGAATTCACATGCAAACCCCATGGGTGCATGAGCTGTGACCATGGTGGATGTGGTGCCTCTGGGATCTCTGTGGTTTCACTGCATGGAAGTGCCCGCTGGTTTCCTCCGTGTGGTGAGTGCTCCCCCCAGCAGAACTGAGCAGTGGGCAGGAACGTGGCACTGACAGAGATAAGGAGTGTTTCATCCTCGAGAGCGAGTCCCTGGGCCGGCTCTGCTGACAGAGAAGCCCTGTGAGGGAGGTGCCGGCTGTTGAGAGCAATAACGAGTGAGCAGATAAGGGACCTCGTTAGGCAGTGGGTGCTGGCTCTGCTCCGGGAGCTGCTGGCTCTGCTCCCACCTCTGTGTGTGAGTGACCTCCCCCCAAATCCCTGTCAGACACACAGGGGGTTCTCTGGGGCCGCATGGCTGCACCCACAGGCAGCACCTGCCCGAGGCCTCACCACTGATGGATTAAAATTGAGGATAACCAAACATTCCTAGCACATTTAAGATGTGGGCACTGGCACTTCCCTGTCTGCTGGGCCCTGCACGGCCCTAGTACCTGTTTCTCATACACTGTGATGGCAGAAAATCTGCTGGAAATGGGACTTAATTCAGGCTCTGCCTCTGGAAGTGTTCCTGGCTCCAGGAGGAATTTATCTTCTTTGCTTCCTCCTGGCATGATTTAAATATCTCTGATGGTGCACAGGCGGGTTTCAGCCCTTGAGGTGCAGCTGCATGGCCTCAGCCTCCAGTGGGGGATGTGCTGCCCTGTGTTGGGGTGCAGGAGCTGGGCTGGAGCTGGGGATCCCTGCCTGTGCCTGGAATGTGCAGACACCACTGGCTGACATCTCCAGCTCCTGCTCTGGCTGTACACCTGTGAGTGGGTCCTTCACAAAGTGGGGTGCCAAGTCTGGGGGAGCACAGTTTGTAGCTGCCACTTCAGTGCAGGTTTGTTTTTATTCCCTTGCTGGCCAATGGCAGAGGATGGACCCTGGAGCCACAAGACTGGGCCAGCTGCCCAAAATGTGGGGCACATGAGTGCTTGGCCTTTGTTGCTTCTCCTGTTGCACCTGAGCCTGTGCATGAACCCCATCTTTCAGTACATGAACTGTGTCTTTCAGTGCAAGAACCCCCTATTTTGGGAGTTCATGAATCCCATCCTTTGGCACATGAATCCCCCTGTTTCAGTGCATAGGTTTTACCTCCACACGTGCCTCTGGGAGATCTGATGCTTTTGCTTTGTCAGGATCCAGCCCAGAGCTGCTCCTGACACTGCTGTGTTTGCTCAGCAGCTCCAGGCAGCTCTACCTCAGGACACCCAAAGTCCTTTGCCACTGCTGCTGTTGCCATCCCAGAGTGGGACCCTCTGATCCCAACCAGCCATGGAAACTTCTAAATGCAGCCAGGCATGGCCGTGACGCCCGTTTGTCTGTCCCTGCTGCTCCCTCCTCCCTCAGCTTTTAACTCCAGAGGGAGTAATGAACTTGGGCAGAGATCAATGCTCTGCTCTGAGCCAGGCTTTATTCTGACATCCAGCAAATGCTGCAGCAGGTACAACTTTTTTTTCAAACTTATTGATTAGTAACGCAGGTACGAGGCAGCACAGCTCCTGGCCAGGGACCTGCCTTGCTGGAGGGGAATGGGATGAATACCCCCACTCCTTCTGGAGCCCTGCCAAGAGAAGGCTCAGGAAATACAGTCAGTATTTTCAAATCCAATTTAAAGAATCTCTTTGCAGCCAGCATCTGTCACCTCATGGCAGAAAACACCTGAAATAATCTGATTTTTTCTGTTTATCTAGAGAGCAAATAATATCCTTTTGTTTGCTGTGTTGCATACAGATACTCTGGTATGAGTGACGCCTGCTCTGTGCCTCCCCTGGTGCTGAGGCCAGTGTTTAGGACAGGGATACGGCATCACCGGGCCCCTTGGTGGATTTTAGGCTTTTCACAAGAGGTGTATGAATGGCACAGGTGCTGGTGCTGTGGTTGTGACCTGCTGTGAGGCTCAGCTCTGGAAGTGTTGGTGCTGTCGGTGGGTTTGGCCTCAGGGTTTCTGCACCCAAAAGGACATCAGGCTCCTACGGGTTCTGTGAAATCCTGCTCATGGCAGGAGCAGGGTGCCCGCTCCAGCTCTCTCTGGTGCCACCGGCCACGCTCCAGCCGGGCGCTGAGGGTGCGTGTGAGCTCGCAACCCACTCCAGCTGCAGGTTTTCATTTCGAGACAAATCTTGCACAGCCTGGGACAGCGATCAGGGTACACGTGGGGACGCGTGTCCTTGCTCTTCCTGTAACGTTTCAAAAACCCCCTCGAGCTGCCCCCAGATGGGCCCTGGCACTCGCGGTGAAGCCGGAGCACCGGGCACTGCCCCTGACACTGCATCTGCCGACTGGGGCTGTGCTGAGATGAACTGGATCGCACTGGGCTGAGCGGTGCTGGGCCGGGCCGGGCGGGTCGGGCGGAGCCGCGCTCTGCACTGGGCTCTGTCCTGGGTGCTGAAGCCTCTCCCGGCGAGACCGGCGGTGCCCGGGGTCTCGGCCCGCGGGGAGCGGAGCTGGGGCTGCCAGGGAGAAACCTCTCCCTGTGTGGGACCTGTGGGTGCGGCGGGGCTCCGGCCGTGCGGGTGGTCCCGGCAGTGCGGTGCGGAGGGTCCCAGCGAGGCGTGGGAGTCCTGGCGGGACGGGGAGCCCCGGGGGTGCCGGTAGGTCCCGGCAGTGCGGAGGAGCGGTCCGGGTGGGGAGGTGCGAGGAATCCCGGCGGTGTCGGGGGTTCCCGGCGGTGCGGGGCAGCACCGGGGGTCCCGGTGGGGCGGTATCGGGGGGTCCCGGCGGGCAGCACGGAGGGGTCCCGGTGGTGCCGGGGGTCCCGGCGGGCAGCACGGAGGGGTCCCGGTGGTGCTGGGGGTCCCGGGGGGGCGCGGTGGGTCCGGCCCCGCCCCGCGCAGTTTAAGAATGAACCGTGGGAAAAAAACTTGGGGGTGCGCGCGGGCCGGGATCCCTCCGCCGGGCGGGGGAGGCTCCGGGCGAGCCGCGGCACCGCCTCGGCGCGCGGCGCCCTCCGCGCGAGGGAAGAGCTCCGCAGCGCGGCGGCGCCGGGACCGCGGCGCAGCCCCGGGGACAGGGCTCGGCCCGGCGGCGCCGCCGCCCCCGGGACGGACGCGCCCGCGGCAAGATGGGCGCCCTGGCCCTGGCCCTGGGGATTTTCCACTACCTGGGGCTCTACCTACAGCTCGGCGCCGCCTCCCGGCACCCCCCGTGGGACGCCCCGGCGGCGGGCAGCGGTGAGGCGGCGGCTCGGGCTCGGGAAGGGGGCGACTGAGCGACGGGAGCTCCTGGGGCTCGGTGCCTCGTGGGGCTGGCGGCGGGTTGGGGCGGCTCTTGGCCGGGCAGCGGAACGAGTGAGGGGGGTCGGGGGTCTCGGTCGAGCTCCGCCACCGAGGGCAGCCCCGTGTAGCCGTCCGTCGCATCGGCGGCTCGAAGAGTGGGGGGCAGCCGGGCGAGCTGGGGTTGGGCTCCGCCGCTCCCGTCTCCGGAGCCCGGGAGGCGGCCTCTGCTTTGGCCGCTGGGCTGCCGAGTCGGGGGGCTCTGCACGTCCCGGTGCCTGCAGCCACCAGCACCCCGTCTCCGTGTGTCTCACGGTGTCGCCGCCGCCACCCGCACCCCGCGTCCGTGAGCCTCCCGGTGCGCTTCCCGGTGCCGCCGCCCGCCCCGCCGTGCGGTGCCCCACGCCCCGGCAGCGGGGCTCCCCCGCCGCCTCCCGCTCCCTCCGGTGCACGGTGGTTCGGCGGGTCGGTGCTGCCGAGCCCGATGGGATCCAGCGGGGTTGGGGAAGTGGAACCTCTTCCTGCATCCTGCACCCGCCGGTGAGGAACCTGGCGTAGGGACAGCTCCCTCGTGGGTACCGAGAAGGTGACAGGGGACCAAGCCCCCTCGGAGGAGGCTCTGAGAGCCTCCTCGTTCCCTGCGGAGCCACGCGGGCACGTTCAGTCTTAGCCCGAGGAGTGACCACGGGGACACGCTGGCTGCCCGGGTCCCAGCTCTTCCCCCCGCCCAGCTCCGGGGCCTCCCGTGTGCGGAGGAACCCACTGTGCCCCGAGGAGCCTCCAGGCACACGATGCCTCGGGCCGTGCCAGAGTGAATGGTGTGAGGTGCCCCGCAGTTTGTGGTGTCCCGCAGCAGTGCGTGGGCTGGCAGGTACCTGCCTGCCCAGGGAAGGGACGATCAGCCTCTGCATTGAGGGTTCACAGCACAAGAGTTGCCAGACCTGCCAGGCTGGCATGCCAGACGGAAAGGTGGGTGAAGAGCCTCCATTAGCCACCGCTGCTCCCCTCAGAAATTCAGCAATAGGCAAATAAATAGGGAAATGGTCGCTGCGACGGAACAGGGAGCCAAGGAGATGAAATATTCTGGGAGGGCGAGTGCACTTTGGAGCCACATTACAGCTTGGTACTCGAGCAGTTCTGCAGCAACTCACTTAATCACAACAGAAACCTTTATTAACGATACTGAAAAGCAGTGAATAAGTGGGTCATGTATAATAAGCCATTTGTGTTCAGTAGGTGAATACCAATTTGATAAAAGCTGTGTGTGCTGAAAACCTGTATAAATCGCTGTTTAGCAGATCGGAGACTGATCATTTCATTACCGGCTGGTGCAGCTTTCCCTCCACACCACGAGAGTCCAGCAGGTTGGAGACGTGGAGAGGGAGAGGGGCTGTGGCCAGCGGGATGGGTTCGGCTGTGGTTGGGGGGCACGGGCAGGTCCTGCCGGGCTCTGCCCGCATCAGGCAGCGCCCAGAGCTCGCTGCCATCTCTGCCCGGTGCTGGAGGCCTGGAGAATCCTCCACGGCACCGCGAGGCTGGCTCCGGCACAGCCCCGGAGTGCCTTCACTCTTCCTTTTAACTTGTCCACGCCGGATGCAGTGAGGGAATTGATGGGAGCAGCGTGTGCTCCGCAGGCATCGGCGAGCGGCCATGGGCACCCCTGGGGCGGCTCCCCCATCCTGACACCCCACAGTGGGCAGCAAGGCTCTGCTCGCAGAGCGATCACGGCTGTGGGGAGGGAAAAGTCATAAAGAAAGTCCTTTACCTGCCCCCACAACAAAGGCTCTGCCTCTGGCAAGGATGGAGCCAGGATGGGCTCCAACTGCCCTGTGAGAGCATCTGAGCCGCAGGATTCTTCCCACCATCCCTTCCCTACCCACAGTGCTGCCTCTCCCCCTTCTCTCCTCTCCTCAGGCTGGTGCCTTCAATTATTCATGCCCCCCATTGCAGCCTGTGCTCGCTGGGCTGCTGCCATCGGCTTTCTCATGCGCTGGCTGGGAAGCTCCAGCCGCCTTCCCAGCCTGCTGGCTCTGGAGCGGGGCAGGGGAGCCGTGCCGTGAGGAGGAGCTGCCCGGCTTCTTGCCGGCACCGTGTACAGGCGATATCGCCTCGCCTCAGCAGAGCCGCGGCTGGAGGCTGGAGAGAGCGGTGCCCCGGCTCCCCAGGGCGCTGCCCTGCTCCGTTCCCGCACACCCCAGTGATTATTCTATCAATTACTTTCATAAACACTTTGCATTCTGCAGGATTTTTTCACACTTCCTGGTGGGAATTCTCCATGCGATGTGTTTTTCCTGCTGCTGTTCGTGCAGTCATTCAACGCAATTACATCTGACACCTCTCCTCATCAAACGTCTGGGCTTTCTCTTCCCTTGAAGCGGCTGACAGACGACGGGCCAGACACTGGGAATTATTACGTTAGGACAGTGACAGCTAATTTTAATCATAACGTTCCCTGTGAGTGAGGCAGGAATCAACCAACAGCCGGCACGGCTGCACACGGTCTGGGAGCTGTGGGCAGCACGGCAGGGCTGGAGTGAGGACCTGGAGTGGGACAGGGAGCTGGAGGCTCTGCTCTGCTGCCTCCTTCATCAGAGGCTGCTCCGGGGGCCAGATGGATGCCCAGGTGGGCAGCTGCTGAGCCCTCTCCACGGCTCCTCTGGGATTTTGGTTCATGGTGTGAGTGGGGCTTGTGCACCTCGGGACAGACTGGCCCTATCCTCCACAGCTCTGGCTCTCTCCGAGCTCCTCTGTTCCATAGCTGTTTCCCCTCCTGCACGTCTCCCTCCCTGAGGCTCCATCTGCGGTGGGTGCCCGACTGAGCAGGGGATGCTGGCCGGGCTCCGTTGTGACGGGTGCATTGCTGATTATATCGTGTGCTCCGTGTGAAGCTGGCTTGGGATGAGCTCAGCAGTGATGGGGCAGAGCCGGGCAGGGGGGTGCCGTGTCCATGAGCACCAGGCACTGCCAGCTCTGCAGGATGGTACCAGCGCCTGTGTGTGGTGAGGGCAGCTCTTGGCAGCAGCTGCCAGTGCTGGTGGCTCATGTTTTGGGTGCTGGGTGTGAGACCACTCCTGCTGAATGATTTTGGCTGAGAATCCTCCCCTGGCTGCTGGGAACCATCCCCTGGCAGAGAGCAGCACCAGAGAGAGTGGTGGCTGTGGGCTGGCTGCACTGGGGCTGGAGCCCCACTGGGAGCTGTCAAAAAAAGGCCGTTTTAGGGCTTTGCTACTTATACTATCAAATAACAGCTCTTCCTTGAGCCCCTTGGGAGGGAATTGTCTGAGAACTGCGAGTCCCCAGGAACCAGATGGGAGCAGCAAGTCCCCTTGTGTGGCAAAGCTTTTTGTAGCCAGGGCCAGACTGGAGAGACTCACCACTGACTTCTCTCTTGCTGAGGAGGTTAAATATTAGGGGAATGGGAAGCACTGGGGAAGGAGCTGGGGCAGCCCAGCACGATGGGGCACTGTTGGAAATACCTGCAGTTTTCAAGGTTAATTCCAGCTCTCTGGTGAGGTGTGTGCTGGCCTGATCACAGTCACTGAGTTAGGCGGGTTTTTTTTTGTTTTTAATTCACATGCTGCATGCAAATTCGAGCTCCTTCTGCTGCTCATATGACTGTAAAGAGGGGCAGAGCAACGGAGCTGCCATCCCCAGCGTGTGGTGAGAGCCTCCCGGCCCCAGGCACGGCCGCACCGCTCCAGCCTGACGCGTCTCGTGGGAAGGGAGATGTCTGGATGGCTGGAGGAGAGCAGCGCTCGCCCGAGTCCTCTGCCCGCTCGGCTGCCGGGGCCGGAGCCACCTGCCCTCTCTCAGCAGTGACGCGGCCGTCACGCCGTGTTTATGCAGCGGTTTGCACCGCGATGTGTTTTCAGCGCCCCGGGGTCAGCATCCCTGCTCGCAGGCTTGTCAGGAGGAGACGCATCCACAGCTGTTAGCGGCGGTGGGAAGGGGAGGGGAGGGAGGCTGCAGCCCGACCTGTGCAGCAGCCTCTGGCGGAGCCGGTGTCCCCGTGGTGGGGACAGTGTGGGTCACACAGGCACTGGGATAGTGCCCAGGCCGCTCCCGGATCCATCCGGACTCCTGTGCCTCCCGATCCGCCGGGATGGCTCTTGCTCAGGCAGGCTGTGTCAAGGGGTGGGGGTCAGGGGGGTCCATCTATCTCTGGGTCCCTGCCCAGTCCTTGTGCCGCGATGTGTCTCAGGTGCCTTTGCTGTCGGCAGGACATGGTGTCCCTGAAGCCGGGGCTGTCGCTGTCCCTCAGCCGTGGGTTCCTGGGAAGGGGAGGGTGCTGGACGGGTCATGGATGTCTGGGGAGGGGACGGTGCCGGAGGGGCTGTGGCTGCCTGGGGAGAGTGTCAGTGGTGCTGGATTCTGTTGGACACATTTGCTTTTCCTGCAGAGGTGCAGCACAAACTCAGCAGGTCAGAGCTGGCCCCACACCAGGGACGCAGGGCAGGGGCTGGATGGACACTCCAGTGGGCAGGAGCAGCAGCAGAGAGATGTTTCAGCTCCCCCAGCCCCTGTCCCGGCCCAGCGTGGGACAGAGCCAGCCCCAGCCGCACCTCCTTCTTGGTGCTTGTCACCCCACCAGCCCGGCTGGAGCTCCAGTGAGGGTCTTCAGCTCTGCTGGGCAGAGAAAGAGGCTTCTGACTCCCGGCTTAGGGAAAAAAATCCTTCCCAGAGCAGCAGCTTGGGCTGACCGGGTGATTAACAGGCGTTTGCAAATGTCCAGTGCATATTTCACTGTCCTCCGGTACCTCTTTACACAACAATTAGCCTGAGCTGGTGCCCATGGCGCTGCTCTGGAGTTGTCCTTTTGGGGCTGTGGTGGGGGCCAGGGAGGCTGGCACAGCTGTGGAATGGCAGGCAGCAGGCAGAGTCCTGGAGAGGCTCCTGGGGGCTGCAGGGCTTTCTGTGCTGGTGGGGCCTACGGATGAGGCAGGAGGACAGAGCAGGGATCTGTGGGTCATTTCCAGGTACTCAGGGCAATCAATGCACGACCTGCTCTTGCCCCAGCACAGCCCCCGCTGCCGCAGCCCCCTCCCCGTGCAGAGTGTGACCAAGGTGAGGGATGGTGCTCACTGCCGGGAGGGACCCCGTCTGTTTCTGGTTTATGAGAGCACCAAGCTGTCCCAGCAGGCGGTTTCAATTCTGTTTATCTGTGTTTCCCCATTGAGTTCATTTTATTTCCCCTGATTTTTATTTCCTGGAAGATTTATCGATCCTGGTGTTCTCAGTTTATGACAGGTAGCAGGCCATAAAGCACACGGAGCAGCGGCCCCCGACGGCCCCCTCCCTCTGGCTGTGGGGATGTGGCTCCAGTGTCAGTGGGGGGAGAGGGATGGGGCTGGGGTGGGCAGGGGACAGGGATGCTGGAGGGACAGGGCACTGACCAGAGCTGGTCAGTGGTCACAGGAGCAGTGTCCAGGCAGCTTGACCAATCCAGTGTAGGGTCCATGCCCAGCCAGGGGGTGCCTGGGGGGACCCTGGTCCCCATTTGTGTCCCCGTGAGGGGCAGGGCTGGGGGACAGTGAGTCACCTCCGTCCAGGCAGGGCCAGGGGCTGCAGCATCCATCAGGGAGGGCACATGGTGCTGCTGGAGGACACATCTGAAAGACATGTGTCCCCAGCAAAGATCTTAAGTATCCATCTGCAGCATCTTTGCTCCTCTGGATGTGCTTGTAGGTGGCTAAGCTCTGGGGTTAATTAATACGTACGCTTCCCAATTAAAACCAGAAAGAAAGAAGGCGCTTGATTCAATCCAGCCTTTTCTCAGCTTATCTGCCAAATTCCCTTCTGTGGGAGCAGATTTTAATTGTGTTCACAGGAATTCGGACCTGGCTGGAGCCCTCAGGCCATCACCCTGCCGCTGCACTGCTGGAGCTGTGGTGTCTGGGGGGCTGGTGCAGGTTCTGTTGGGACCCACTGCCTTTGGCCATTGCTCCTGCCATCAGGAATTCTGTGGGGCAAGAGCCTGATCCTGGCTGCAGCCAGGGAATGGGTGGTGAGTGTTGGATAATGACTGGACACAACAGCCTCAGCACCACTGTAGCTTGGAGCACAGAGGAACCCTTTGTGCTGTGCCAAGAAGACCCCCTGCTCTCCCACAGCCCTCGGTCACCAGAGCTGTTCCCTTGCCTGGGGTTCTCTCCACCCCTGGCACAGAATCCATGTGGCTGCTGGCGCTGGGTTCTGCACGAACAGGATGTGGGAACAGCACTGGGAACCCCACCAGGACACCCCGCCTCGGTAAACCCCGGTGTTGGGTATTTTCCTCTGTTCCCTGCTGAGATGGATTAAAGGAAAGCAATAAGTGGATGGGATTTCCACGCATCCAGAGGGACAGGGAGATATTAGAGGTATTAACTTTTTGTCTGGCCTGATAATAATTGGTTTTCAGAGGGATCAGGGCTGGAGAGAGTGTTGCTCCCAACAGGCTGTGTGTCCCGGAGGGCTCCGGTGGCTCCGATGGGACCTGCACTGTGGCTGTGAGCCGGCAGTGCCGGCAGCACGAGGTGGTGAGTGAGGACAGGAGGCACAGGGCAGCCTCGGCAGTGCCTGGGGTGTGCAGGAGGCTGGCAGCCCTGTCCCGGTGCCCTGCCATGGAGAAGCCGCTGCACCGATCGTGGCAGCAGCGCTTGCCCGTGCCCTGCACACTGGAGCCGTCTGTAGGGAGGAACAACAGTCTCTCCAGAGGAGATGAAAAGAATTCTAATTACATCTCCGAACAATATTTGTTTTGAGTGAGGAAAGTAAACCATATGGCGTGTGGGAGCCTGTTTGGGGCCGCATTAAACGAGGATTTGTTTTTCAGTTATGTCCTGATCTGAGTGAGATGCCATCATGCTCTATTTATTTCCTTCACCTCAGAGGTGTGGCAGGTCCTGCACTCGTTCTGGGGCAGGAGTCTGAGGGATGCTGTGGGAACAGGGGGCCACAGGCTCCTGCTCCTCCCTTTCCCCCCACTGCCCTTTGCAAAGTGCTGGGGGGGCGGGGGGTGGCGGGTGCAGCTCTGCTCAGGGTGGGGAGGGGACACTGACATGGGAAAGGAGAAGCTGGGGATGGCAGGAACCTGTCTGCTCTGCCGTGGAGGCTGGGTCTTTTCAGCCAGGGAAGGATCCAGGCACTCCTGGTGACTCTGCCTGTGTGGCTGGAGGCATTGTCCTTCACTGGGACAGCGCTGTGTCCCGCGGGCACCCACAGCCCTCGCTCTGTCTCCAGCAGCTCTCTTCACCGAGACCCCTCATGACATGACGGCGCAGGCGGGTGAGGATGTGGAGATGGCGTGTTCCTTCCGCGGCAGCGGCTCCCCCTCCTACTCCCTTGAGATCCAGTGGTGGTACGTCCGCAACCACAAGGACTGGACGGACAAACAGACGTGGGCTTCCAGTCAGGTAATGCCCCTCATCCTCCTCCTCCTCCACAGCAGCAGGGAAAGGCAGAGCCCTTCAGGCAGAGCCCTCACCTGCACTTTCCGTGGGGAAGGGATTTGTTTGCAGCCACTGGTGGGTTTTGGTGGGGGTCCCCAACCCGCAGCAGCATCCCCGGTGCTGACTGGACCTGCAGGGTTTCACCCTCTGCTCTGACAGAGAGCAGCCTGAGGGTCCTGTGGTGCAATTAATAGGCTGCATGGGCTGCTCAACGTCCAGCTGCACTGAGGATGCTGCGGGGCCAGTGGGCTGGGCTGTCCTGGTTGTCCTTCCCAGCCAAGGGGCTGCCTGGCCCATTGCCAGGACCCATCTGAGGCTGAGGCTTTGTTTTTGTGCTTGTGCCTTTGCCTATCTCATCACCAGCTCATCCCTCCTGGCCCTGCACCCTCCATCCCTCCCTTGTCCCCTGTTTTCCTGTGTATTGGTCCAGCAAACAGCCTCTCTTCATTTCTCTCTCTGTTCGCACAGAGATAAGGGCCAAAGAATGGGAAACAGCTTTGGGGATTTTAATGAGCCTTTATTGTAGTGTCTTTGGCAGGGCTGCTGCTGGTGTTGCCATAAATTGAGAAGCCTCAGGGCAGTGCTGCCAGGACGGGGGGAAGCACTGCCAGGGGTCGAGGGTGGACAGGGTCAAGGGTGTTGGAGACACTGGGAATGCACAGCCAGTGGCTGCTGGAGGGGAAGATTGGTGGCAACGGGGCAGGTGGTGGCAGTGATGGGGACAGGGTTCCAGAGACAGGGGTCACAGCTGCAGCAGTGATGCTACAGGGATCCATTCCTGGACTGTGGGGAGCACCTGGAGCAGTGGGACCTGTGGGTGAGCACCCCATGCTCCTTGGCTGCTGTGCTGCTGCTGGTTCTTCCCATCCTGGGCACCCAGTGTGGCTTCATCTGCCCTGGGTGCCTGGTTTTGCTGGGGCTGGGCAGTCTCTTCTCTCTTGCCCCTTCTCCCTCTTCCTTCTTGCTTGGGGCAGCCATCCTGGCAGTGGGAAGGGGCTGGTGGGCTGAGCTGATCATTTCTCTTCCCTCTCTGGTCTCCCCCTACCCTGCTTTGTCCACAGCTGAAATCATCACCACCAGAGGAGCCGGGGAAAGAGGCGACAAAAATCAGCGTGAGTTTGGGTGATGGGTCTTTAGGGGGGCTGTACTTGGGGGCTCACCAGGACATTCTGCTGGTCCCAGTCCTGGGCTGGGAACACCAGGGTGGAGAACTGGGTCTGCCTTGGCTCAGTCCTAGGGTGACCAGGGTGAGGGGTGGCTGCCCTGCTCTCCCTGGCACCAAGAGGCACAGCTTGGACCTTGAGCCTTGTCTGGCATCTGGGTGACACATTAATGTCAGGGATAAAATAATCCAATTGACTCGGTGGATTAGCATCCCAAAGCCATTTAGGCTCATGTGAGCAGAATGAGGAGCCACTAATAAATTAAATAAAACACTCTTGGCTTTCTGCTGCCAGGTGTGTGCCCCCCTGGCTCTCCCTGCCCTCGGGAGCTCTGCATTTGGGGGTGTCACAGTCACAGAGCAGTGCTGGAAAGCTTCCCACTGTCACCTGGTAGCCCCTCCTGCCACTTCCATTTTTCCTTCACTGAGTGAGCAAGGGGGGATGGGGTTGGTCAGGCACCTGCAGCTTCTCAGATGGGTGTCCCCCACACCCAGGATCAGTCTACCCTTCCCAAGGGAGAGCACCACCTTTCAGCACCCATCTGCAGGATCAGTGCATGATTCTCTTGATGCTAACAAATCCCTCTCCAGGGGTCATGTCCCCTTTGATTAATTGGCACCCACAATCCATACCCAAACCTAAGCAGGTTCTTCCAGGATCTGTTCCTCACCAGGGTGCTGTGGTTCCGTGCCCCACAGTCAGCAAAGTTCCAGGACTGCTGCTGGAGCAGCCAGAGCCTGGGCTCTGCCAGACCCTGTCTGCTGAGCTTGGGGGGCTGCTGCTCCCCACATCCCACCCCAAGCCCTGCTCCAGGGGCAAGAGGGACTACAGTGGGTGCATGGAGCCATCCTGGGGCCAGCACTCCCTCTCAGCTCAACCAGTGCATGTTTCAGCATAATTAGGCAGTTAATTGCACGCTGGAATGGAATTGATGGGTGTGTGAGTGTAACCAGGATTTATTTTGAATCATTCGAGGTCGCTGCTGCCTCCTCCAGATCCAGCCAGCAGGGAGAGGCTGGAGCTTCAAACCTCTTTTGTTTGTTGTTATTTCAAATGTCCTTGATAATTAAGTGTTTATGGAATGGAGGAGGTAAACGAGCATGGGCGGTTCTGATGGAACTTAAGGTACAGCCACAACAGCAGGTGACTGGGAACAAACAGCAGAGTCAAACAGTGAGAGGGGGGTGTAAATCCCAAGGAGGAGCCACTGTGCCAGGCACCCCTTGGCCGTGTGCTATCCACCAAACACACCTGGTGCTGGAGATGCTTTGCAAAGATGAAGGGAAACGAAACATGATGGGTCTGGGTTTATTTTTTCCCCCTTTGAATCCAGCGGCACATCAGAGGGCTGAGCTGGGGCTGGGCACAGCAAATCTGCCCATCCTGGCCATGCCAGGGCTCTGCCCCATTCCTGTGGGCAGTGAGAGCTGTCACTGCCCTGCCTGCGCTGGTGGAGCCACAGGAGTTACGGATGGTCATAAAATCTTCCCTCCTGAGGCTCAGTGACCTGCTGGGTAGCAGCTCCATGGCCACTGGTGGCACCAGCAAATTGGGGTTTTATTTTATTAGTTCTAAATTTCCCAGCCATTAATTTCAGTGACTTCTGGCTCTCCCAACGAAGAGGTTTTTTTTGCAGCTCCTTTCCCATGACAGTCTCAGCATCTAGGCACACTTGCACGAGGGTCTGGCAGCTCCTGCCCCTGCCTTGTCCTGTCCCCTCAAGACCCACACTTCCAGCAATGCAGGATTGGGGCTCACAGCTGCACATGGCCACTGCGAAGCCCTGAGACGCTGTTTGGGGTGGCCCTGGCTGTGACCTGTGTCACCAGCTGCCTCTCAGCATTGCACGGTGTGCAGGGCAGCTGAATGCAGCAGCCTGTGTGTGCTCATGTGTTTGTACATGCTCTGTGTACACCTGTGGGCAGGTGTCTTCATGTTCCAGCACTGGATGGCCCCAGTGAGGGGCTGAGGGGACATTGAGGGGCTGTTGTCCCCACGCTGCATCCTGTGCTGTTTGGGGTGGGTTTTGCCCCTCTCCAGAGGCGTTTCCAAACATCATAAAATCCTCAGCTAACAAATGCAGCGGCGAGTAGAAAAACGGCCTTTGCCATCCAGTGTGATTATAGGGAACAGAGCCAGGGGCCTCGGGGTGGGTTATAAATCTGATTTATTGACCCAGCCCAGAGCAGCTGCGGCTCTGGCTAGTGAGTAAGTCTTAAATTTCATTGGGTGATAAATGCTGAGAGCGAATCAATTTGGTAGAAAAGCTAATTAGCCAGCGTGGTTCCGCATCGATCTCTGAGCCCTGCGTGGCCGGGTGTGAGCCAGGGCTTCCATCATCCTGTGGGCCCAGGCTGGGGCTGGATCCCCCCACAACAACTCCACCAACCTTTAGCGTGTCCTCCCAGCACAAGGCTGGGCTGCGGTGGCACACGGTGGGAGGTGGCAGTGGTGACACACTGGGGGTGTCTGGGGGGCAGTGGGAGCCCTGGGGGCCCCCTGACCGCCCGTCTGCCTCGGTGCAGGTGGTGAAGGTGGTCGGCAGCAACATCTCCCACAAGCTGCGGCTGTCGCGAGTGAAGCTGGAGGACGAGGGGACGTACGAGTGCCGGGTGATCGACTCCAGCGACGGCAAGGCACGGCACCACAAGGTGAAGGCGTACCTGCGGGTGGAGGCAGCGGGGGGCCCGGGGCACCCCCAGGACACCGAGCTGCGGGAGGCCCCGCTGGCAGAGCTCGCCTCGCCGGGCTCAGCCCACGCACACCACCACCACCACCACCACAAAGCCGGGAAGGAGCTGAAGAAGCGCTCGGCAGACACCTCCTGTGTGCTGTAGGTGGGCGGTGTGAGGGGACGCAGGAGCCCCCCCCGGCCCGGACTCAGCGGAGCCATCCAGGGTCCCGCACCCCCTGCCAGAGACTGGCCCCAGCACCCCGTCCTGTCCAGCACCCCTCAGCACCTCCCTCTCTCCCCAGCCGCGGGGCACAGCGGGGCCAGGGCTCGGCCTGCTGCGGGAGCCGGACCTGTCAGTGCCATGGGGGCATCGCTGGGGCTGTGCCCGGGGCCAGGCCGTGTGCCCACCCGAGGTGGTCGCCATCTCCCCGGCCTAGTGCGGGTGGGCGCCCGCTGCCCGCTGCCACCGTGCTGCCGCGGGCTGTGCAGTGACCCGGCTCTGCCCGGGGGGGACCCTCCTGCCCACGGGACCCTCCCTGCCCTCCCCTGTGCTTCGCAGACCCAGCCGCCCGTTCCCGTAGGTTGCCCCGTTTAGTTGCTCGGTTCCAACCCCACAGTGCGTATCTAAGTTCCAGCCTCCATCCTACAGCCCGTGTGTATCCCCCCTGCCCCTGCCTGCCCCGCAGCCCCCAGCACGTCAAGGCCTGAGCTCAGCAGAGGAAGGACGGCACGGCACATTCCTGGCACCCTCCCGGCACGCTCTGGCATCGCTCAGCCAGGCAGCTGCCCGTGCTCAGTGTGTGCCTTGGAAGGTGTGCCATCGGAGCTGGCCCCTTGCACCCATCACTCCTCCTCCCCTCGCATTTCACAGAGGATGGGGCTCTCAGCCGCCAGCCCCGTCCACCCTGGCCCCATCCCGCTGCCCGTGGCTCTCGGCCCCCTCTCAGTGAAGCATCCCTCCCTCCCAGGCCACAGCACCACACTGCCCCGGGCAGGGTCTGTCCCACGGGCTCTTGTGTCAGTGCAAACAGCACAGCCCATCTCTGATGCCCCCACGGTGACCACGGCCACTGGGACGGAGCTATGGGGAGGGAGAGGGGGGTCCCGGGGCACTGCTCCCCCGCTGCCCCCCAGCCTGCCACCATCAGACCTGCTGCAGCTAATAAAGCTCTTTAAAGGAAGCCTCTGTGGGTCTGTTGCTGTCTGTGGCATGGCAAGGGGCCATGGTTTTGGGTAAAAAGGGGCAGAGCTGGGGCTGCTGCACTGGTGCCACTGGGGATGGGGATGAGCCTGGGCATCAACATCATCACCTGCAGCTGAGGGCTCAGAGATTTAAAATGCTGCAGCTTGGGGAGCCCCTGCCCAGCCTGGGAGCCTTGAGGGCTGCAGGATCCAGTGAGGGATGCTCCACGCTGTGGCCATGGAATGCTGGGTCCTGTGGGGTGGCTGGGTGGGCTGGCAGGTGAAATCCTGACACTCACCTGAGTATCCAGACCAGATTTCCAGCCTGGTGGGAGGTGAAGGTCCCCAAAGCAGGCTGCTGGCTGCCCCTGGGGCCTGGCTCTGCCTCTCCAGTGGGAGAGCAACTCCGAGCACTGGCAATGCCCAGCCTAGCCCAGCTGCCTGGAGTCCTGCAGCTACTTTGCAGTTAGCTTGTTACTTCCTGGACCTCCATCATGCTCACCCCTTGCTGTGCTGATGAGAAGGAGAAAGCTGGTGGCTTTCTGTCACCAGACATATCAGCCTGTGCTGGGGCAGGAACAGGCAGAGATGGCTGGTGTCTCTGGAGCCACGATCACCTCTGCCACCTGGAGAGCTGCGCTCTTGGGGAGCAAAAGACACAGGAGAAAAACATTCAGAAGATACAGGGCAAGGAGACACTGCTGGTGCAAAATTCCACTTTGCCAAAAGTAGCAATGGTGGCTGTGCCGTAGCAATCCCTGGCAGAGCTGTGGGGCTGGGGCTATGCTCAAATTCTCCCAGCCAGGGAATGGGATTACTGGGGGAAGAAGAGAGATTGGGATGCATTGGTCACCAGTGCAGCAAAACACAGGACACAGCAGAGGAAAAGGAAGACCCAGGGACACACTAAGGGAGGGCAGGAGGCTGCAAATCACCTCAAACAGGGAGTAAACAAATTGCTGTGCAGCATAGTGATTTGTAAAACCTGGAAGTGAGCTTTAACAATAACAGATTTTATTGGAAAAGATTAATTTTGCTGTTTATAGGAAATTTTGGGAGCAGGAATCGAGGAGAGGCCCTGCTGGACCCGTGTGCATGGCTCAGCAGTGCCTGGTGCCAGGGGCTGTGCATGGGACTGTGCCCCCAGCCCCGGGTGTGGCAGTCCCCCAGGGTCCTGGCTGGGTTTGTGCATGGAGGAGACAGCTGGATATGGCTTTCTTGGCTCTCTGATCCCAGAGAGGGTGGCTGGAGCGGGGGCAGTTGGGGGTCTCCACCCCAGTGTTGAGGGCTGCTTGGTGGATGAGCATTCTGGCAGGGAAAGCCCATGGCTTGTGAAGGGGCTGAGCTTAATATGCAAGTCACTGCTGGGGAGGAACCTGCCTCATGAAAATGCCATTTCCATGCAGTCCCTCTCCCAGCTATTATCCTGCCTCAGACAAAAGCAATTTACTCAGCCTCCAATAAAGCAAGGGCGATAACGAAGCTGAGAGGAGCCGACTGTGACAGGCAGGACAGCCTCTCTGCCACCAGCACCCACCTGCTGGCTGGGGCTGAGGCTGTGGGGAGAATCTCTAGACTGCACAGTAAATCACAGGCTCTGGGTGGGGGTGTCAGCTGTGCCAGAGCCCTGGCTGGGTGATGTGGTTGGCTCCTGGGCACTGATGGGACAATGCTGCCCTTCAATCACATGCCTGTCCTGCAGGATGGCAAGCCTTGGCATGGGCAGGCTGGGTCCTTGGAGTCCCCACCATAGCACAGCTGAGCAGAGCAAGGCTGGATGCAGCATCTGCACCTAATGGATGAGTTTTGTCAAGTGCTACAACAACCTGGAAAACTGCACCAGCCCCAAGGGCGCTTGGAAACCAAAGACAGTATTTCACCTCCCTGCCTGCCCTGTCAGAGCAGCTCTGAAAGCTCCTTTGTATAGAACCCAACCAGCGTTAAGCATTGAACAGATATTAAAAAAGAGTAAAGCTGACCTGCAGCCCTGTCCTACTGGATAAAAAGCCACTGACTTGTGTTTTCCCTGGAGAAGCAAACAGGAGGAAAGCCTGAATTAAATCAGGGAGAGAAGGGGAAGCAACTTCAGCTGAGGGATGTGGCAGCAGAGACAGTGCCCTTGGGCCCACCAGCAGAGACTTGTTTTGGATGTTCACCTAGGATCCCAACAGTGATGCACAAAGCCTGTTCCATGTAACAATCTATTTATTACTTTGGTTTTTGTATTTCTGAGCTTGCTTCCAAATTTAGTCAAGATCTGCCCTTTTGCTTCACTTGCATAGATCTTCCCCGAGTGTCAGGAGGCAGCCTGCTGCCAGGAGCTGCTCTGGGGAAGCTGAGGGATCTGGGAGCCCGTGAGGTCTGGGAGCAGCTGAGCAAAGCAGTGCCTGTGGACAATCTCTGCAGCAAGAGCCTGGGGATGTGGGAGCTGGAGACCAGGGGAGAAGCCTCTCAGCAGAGGGAGTGAGCTGACCCCAAAGACGAGTCATCCTCTGCCCACTGTACCACCTTGCACCTCCTTTGACAAACCATGGCACTGCTGGGGTGCTCACAGCCCTGGCACCGCTGGCACCGTCTGACAACAGACAGACACAGAGGCTGTTCTGGGGCACAGGCAGGTGCTTCATCTTGGGGTGATGATTAGAAATAGCCTGAGAACTGTGATCTGGGCATGGGAGATGCTGTAAATCACTCCCAGGTATAAATCAGGGCTGATTCTCTACAGAACCTCACAGAGAGCGAGATAGAGAACAGAGCACGTTTGGCCGCCTCCATCTGGTCTCAGCAAACTGCAGCTGTGAGGAGCAGCCCTGGTGCTCCTGAGAGGACACATTGTTCTTGCCAGTAACATAGGTGAGGAATTTATTGGAAATGCACTTCAACTTCTGAGATTCTGAAATTCAGAGATTAACTGCTTTTAAAGTGAACAGGTTTATAGTGCACCCAAACAAGATTCTCTTCCTGGGAAGGGTAAAGGCCAGAAAAAGCTTTTGCTTTGAGTTGTCACTATCCAGCTGAGAATGGGAGGTATCATCACAGCTGTGAAGAGATCAGAGGTGTGGGGGGTGCTAAAAGGGTACCCCCCTAAGGATCAAGGATTAGGAAGTTCTGGAAGATGACTCACTCTTCATATTGAAGAATTTGGAACAGATGTGCCATTTTCTTTGCATAGGGTTCTGGCGAGGCACAAGTCAGGAGGAGTCAGGGTCATGTACCCACCTCATCTTCAAACAATGCTTCAAGAAATAAACCTTCTGCCACAGGGAGGATGTCTCATCCAGTGCCTCAGACTGGGCAGCCCTTCCTTTGCCCCTGAACCATTTGGGTCCACAGTGAGGGTGTTATCTCAGGTGAGCCCTATCCTGGTGGTTCCTCTTTCCCATCCCAGCTGCTGCGTAGGTCTGTCAGGAAGGAGATGCCTCCTGTGTGCTGATCCTGGGACCTGTGCCCTCCTGCTGCTGCAGCCTCTGGAGCAGAAGCAGCACGTTGTCGGTGAGCTCGTTCCGTGGCCGCCCCATCCCGCTGAGCTTCACCGGCTGCAGGCTGGCGTGGGGGGGCTCGAACCCCTCGGGGCAGCACACCTCACTCAGGAGCAGCCAGGTGCTGTCAGGGTCCACGTGCATCAAATGCAGGAAAACACTTTGGAAAACAGTAGGAAGAGGGGAAAGGAGAGTAAGGACAAGGCCTTTTGGTTGGCACCCACCAGGGTTATACTAAGAGCTGAGGAAAGCTCTGGTGCTGTTGGCAACTTCTGGCAGCTGCGCAAATTTGCCTCTTTACAGAGGGCAGTGCAGTGGCCCTATGCCTAAGAAAGCAGCTCTGTGTCTCACAGCTACTGGCACATGGGAGAAATATTTATGATACCACACAGTCACTTACAGATATCAAACAAGCAGCTGGTGCAGAACTGACCCGGGCTTGGTGCTGGCACTGTGTGAGCTGATGCTAGCACAAGCATAAACCTGCCTGATCCACATGCTG